GTTGGGTTTGGATTTTATTTGTTCTTTTTTCTCTAGTTCTTTGAGGTTGAAGCTTAGATTGTCTGGGCTCTTTAAGACTTTTTGATGAAGGCATTTAATGCTATGAACTTTCCTTTTAGTATTGCTTTTACTGTATCCCAGTGGTTTTGGTAGGTTGCGTCACTACTATCATTCAAGGAATTTTTAAATTTCCATCTTGATTTCAATTAGCTGTTGGTTTCTCCTTTGGAGCAGGGTTGTTCTGTTATGAGTCGCTGTAATGGCCTGAGTTTGTTGACCTCCAGCTAGGAGTTGGTACTTTTAAGACAACACCAGCTGCAATAGTAGAAGGGAGATATAATCCCAGCAAAGTTCATTTTTATCCACATTCTGAAGCCTACTTCTGTCATTTCAGCCTAATTCTGAGCCCTTGCTGGAGAGGTATTATGGTCATTTGGGGGAAAAGGGTCACTCTGGCTTTTTGAGTTTTCAGGTTTTGGTATTGATTCTTTCTCATCTTTGTAGCCTTATCAACTAGTTTTGATCTTTGAGGTTGTTGACTTTTGGATGGAGTTTGTGTGTGTGTGTGTGTGTGTGTGTGTGTGTTGTTGTTGTCTTCTGTTTGTTTGCTTTTCTTTTAATAGTCTGGCCACTCTTCTGTAGGACTGCTGTTGTTTGCTGTGGGTCTGCTCCAGACTGTAGTTGCCTTGGTTTTTCCCATACCTGGAGGTATCACCAACGAAATCTGTGAAATAGCAAAGATGGTAGCCTGCCCCTTCTTCTGGAAGTTCTGTCCCAGGGTGGTACTAACCTGTTGCTTGCCCACACACACCTGTGGGAGGTATCTGGAGACCCTTGTTGGGAGGTCTCACCCAGTCAGGAGGAACTGGATCGGGGACCTGCCCAAAGACGCAGTCTGGCTGGTTTTTGATAGAGCAACTGTGCTGTTTTGGGGGTCCATTCAGGCCCTGACCAGTTTGGGCTCTCCAAGGCCCCCAGTCTGAACTGGCTGAGATGCTCAAACAGCTATAGTAGTGTCCTGTCCTGCTTCCCGGCACTCCATCCCAGGGAGAAATTAGACCTCTGTCAGCCATAGAATGTGGGTGGAGGTGACTGGAGGCCCTGACTGGGAGGAGCTGGGAGTTCCACTCAAAGAAGCAGTCTGGCCATGCCTTAACAAAACAGCTGTGTCATGCTGGGGAACTGCCTCTGCCTCTGTTGGCTTGGACTCTCCAAACCCTGCAGACTGGAAAGTCTGAATCCTCCAAAAAACCAAGGTGGTGGCCTGCTACTCCTCCCGCACTGTGTCCCAGGGAGAGATCAGAGATCTGTCCATAGAATACAGGTGGGGCAGTGGCTGGAGGTCTGGGCTGGGAGGTCTTGCCCAGTGAGGAGAAATGAACCCGGGCCCTGCTTAAAGAAGCAGTCCGGTCACATTCTGGCAAAGCAGCTGTTCTGCTGAACTCAGTTTGCTAGTACTAGTAGTAGTTATTGTTTTGTTTTTTGGGGATAAGGTCTCACTCTGTCATCCAGGCTGGAGTGCAGTGGTGTGATCATGGCTCACCCCAGCCTCAGGCAATCTTCCTATCTCAGCCTCCTGAGTAGATGGTACTACAGGCACATACCATCATACCTGGCTAATTTTTCTATTTTTTGTAGAGGTGGGGTTTAGCCATGTTGCCCAGACTGGTCTCAAAATCCTGAGCTCAAGTAAGCCTCCTGCCTCATTCTCCCAAAGCACTGGGATTATAGGTGTGAGCTACTATGCCCAGTCAGTTTGTTATTTTGTTGAGAATTTTTGCATTGATGTTCATCAAGGATATTGGCCTGAGTTTGCTTGTTTTGTTGTGTCTGAACCAGATTTTGGTATCAGGATGATACTGGCCTCATAGAATGAGTTAGGAAGGAATGCTTCCTCCTCAGGTTTTTGAAATAGTTTCAATAGGAATGGTACCAGCTCTTCCTTATACATCTGGTAGAATTTGGCTGTGAATCTATATGGTCCTGGCCTTTTTCTGGTTTTGATTACTGCTTATGTACCCTCTATCTGGTCCTTCCAGATGTTTACATTTTGCATAGCTAAAGTACAGTTAAAAAATCCATTCAAATTGTCCTTAAAGAAAAGAGTTTCTTTTTTAACTTAAGGAATAGTTCTATTCAGTTTCGTATTAGGCCGTCTGCTAGCCTTGTACTTTAGAGATGTCATGCCCATTTTCTACCCTGTGTGAGACTGCTTTTAATCAGACCTTCATAGTTATCTCTAAAAATCCTAATCTCATCTCCTCAATTCTTTATTACAAGGAGTTAGAAAAACACTAAAAACATGAGAGGGTGGGTTCTGAATAATGTGTTTTTGATTTAAGCTTAAAGTTTTGCTCTAGAGAACTCTCCTTAGAGCATAACACAGGGACAAAAGAAATGAGTAAGGCACTTGTATGACAAAATTGGCTCTAAACCCTAGAAATGAATGTTGACATCTTAGCTTTTTCCCAGTTAGAATTTTAAAAAATAGATATTGCCAGGGGTGCTTAAGAGATTACAGCCTTTACTTTTCCATTAAAGAGTGAAAAGTCCTTAGAATAATTTATACTCAAACTGCTTATTTTTGTTACTTTTGAGGTGAATATGTAATGTTTAAATAGTGGTGGTTGATGGCACCCCTAAACCCCCTGCAGCTATAGTATCTGTTCTATATTTCATACATAGGCATTTCATTTTTATTTTAATGTGATCCAGACTAAATAAGCCTAGCATCCTCAAGCAAAACATTTAAAGTCTAATTGTAATTAACCTTGACTTGTGTTATGATTTGTAATTAACACAGGCCTTTCAATTACTCTAGTTGATTTTATTAATTCTGACACTTGTCTTGATAAAGTTCACACAGGGAGACATTTGGAAGTGGTATTGATGAAAAGATGGCTTAAAATACAGAAATTTTGGCATAAATTCAATGTCATTCCTATTTATTTTTATGTATACAATTTGGACATTTCAAAATTTAATAAATATTTTTGTATGAAGTTCACCATTATGTTCATCTTCCTTAGGGGATTAGTGAGATTAAGGGAATAATGTTAAGTCAAAGCTAAGAAATTAAACTGTGAAAGCCAAATAGTCAGGCTTCAAGGAGTTGCTGTAATGAAAGTTTATGAAAAAAAATTGAGTTAAGAATTAGAAACCTTCCACCTATAACTCATTTTTTTCTTCCTCTTTGTTTTAAATAGGGGAAAGTATCTTTGGTTAAAATGAACATGTTTGGCTATCAAAAAACACTATAGTCTCATACTGATTATTCTATGGCCTTAAAAACGTAATTTTTTCCTTATAGGTATAGTAACCACATATCTTTCATAAGGACACTTTCTTATAGCAGCTTCCCGAGGTAAACTAGAAAACATGAAGATAAATTTACATGTACCACTGAAGAAAGCTAATGTCTACCTATAAAAAATAATCAGTAACAATAAAATTATTTTCAGAATGTTTAAAGTGTTGGCTGGGTGGAAGAAGAAAGGGGTAACAGGGATAACTAATCTATATGTACCAGATTGGATGAATTTAGCTTGGTGACAGAAAAGCCTGACTCAAAATAACTTAAGAAATGAGGAACATTTATTATCACACACAACAGAAAGTCAGAATGTGGAACAGCCCCAGATTGGTTGATTCAGTTGCTCATTATTAGCAGACCCCTAAATTCTTTGCATCTTTCTGTTTTGCCATCCTAGACCTGTTGACTTAGTTTCCCCACATGGTTGCAAGATGGCTGCCACAGCTCTGGGAATCACAAATATTTGGCAATAGGAACAGGAAATTAGGGCGTGAGAAGTGTCTCCCCCACCGTCCTGAGCACCAGAATATATAGAAGAGAGGTGACATCTAAATAGCACAGGCACTCTTAGCAAGGGGAAAGAGATAACTGGATTTTGGGTTAGTAGTGTCTCTTCTATTTTGAGCAACTTCATTTTTTCTCATCTCTAACAAAACAAATATTTAGTATGAAGCAATTAGGAAGATCCATCAAATGAATTGGTCATATATGGGCCTACAAGTTAATGTTCTCAAATGAGCTCAGCTTAAAGACATTGATGGAAAGAAAGAAATGGGAACTTATTCAGTCAGTGATTTTTAAAAGTTCAGCTGTGCTCTGAGGCTGAAGCACATCAGTACTATGACCCACAAAAGAACAGTTAACCTTGTTCATCTCAAAATCTTTCTTTAGTTATCTCTAGAAGAAAATTTCTATTTTAAGCTGCAAAGCCTTCTGCAAAATATCTGGCCATGGAGTTTATGAAAAGGTTTCAGAAACAATGATGTATTTGGTCTTATTTTAATAATATGTACTATCCTGAGGCTTGTTTGAAGTTGGTAAATAGAAATACATATTTCCAAAAGACATTTTGGTATATATACCCCTATGAGAAATGTGGAAATTTTAAATACTTCTGAGGTGTAAAAATACAGCTCATTACTTATCAAAGTATATTGAAGACAAGAAATATGACTGATGCTTCTTACCCTTTACTTTGAAACTGTATTGCATGGGTTGGCCCACAGTTCTTGTTCTTCCACTTGCTATAACAATAACATAAATAATCTGATAGAACTCATGACTTAACCGCCCATTCATGTATAATGAATTATATAATTTTGCTTAATTGCTTTTCCATCCCCAGTAGACTCTGAGCTCTAATGATAGTTTCTAAATTTGTATATAGGATGGGCTTGGGACAGCAATCCATTTCAAGGGGAGGGGTGTGTACAGCCTTGAAGTTTTGTTTTCCCAGTGCTAAAATAATGATGAAAAATCAAAGTAATGATAGAGAGGGTAGGTATAGGGGTTAGTTGAGATTGGGTTTTAAAGAACCCCTCAAACCACTCAGCTTATGGTGAGCTCCTGAAAGGCAGGGTCTGTGATACCCTTGTTATCCTCAGTCCAAGCAATGTGATTCAGTTGTATTCTCTAAACACTTGCTGAATGAAAGAATTACCAGAATCCATTCATGTTTGCCAAAAGTAGACACTTAGTAACTTGCTACATGAAGAAATGAATGCTAATTTTCTTTGTTTTCCTAACTGTGAACTTCCTAAAAGAGGAATGACAGATATATTTTTCAATTTGAGAGACAATTGTGCGGAGAGCCCCATTTTCCCCATTTTCTGGGGTAAACTTAATGTAGCTTTTTTTTTTTTTTTTTTTTTTTTTTGTGAAAGATTACAAAGGAAATAAATGTTCTCAGTCCTTTTAGGTCTGAAAACATCTCTTTTTTAATGTTTTAAATTTATTTATTTTACTTTAGGTACATACTATATCTGGTATTTCTTCCCATGTTATCCTTTCCCACCCTCTCCTCCCTCCCCACCCTCCACTGTCTCTCCCTTACTCCCCTAACAGCCCCCAGTGTATGATATTCCTCTTCCTGAGTCCACGTGTTCTCATTGTTCAACACCCACCTATGAGTGAGAACGTCTGGTGTTTGGCTTTCTGTTCTTGTGTCAGTTTGCTGAGAATGATGTTTCCAGATTCATCCAAGCCCCTACCAAAAAAAACTCTCTTTTTTTCATACTTGCATTCAGTAGGGTCCCTGGGTATTGAATTTTAGTGTTAATTTCCTCTCATATATACATATACATATATGTATATATTGAGATGTATATGTATATATGTATATATTGAGATGGAGTCCTGCTCTGTCACCCAGGCTGCAGTGCAGTGGTGCAATCTCCGCTCACTGCAGTCTCTGCCTCCTGGATTCAAGCACTTCTCCTGCCTCAGCCTCCCGAGTAGCTGGGATTACAGGTGCATGTCACCATGCCTGGCTAATCTTTGTATTTTAAGTAGAGTTGGGGTTTTGCCACATTGGCTAGGCTGATCTCAAACTCCTGAGCTCACATGTCTTTGTATTTTAAGTAGAGATGGGGTTTTGCCACATTGGCCAGGCTGATCTCAAGCTCCTGAGCTCACATGGTCTGCACACCTTGGCCTCCTAAAGTGCTGGGATTACACATGTGGGCTACCACAGCCAGCCTCCTCTCTGAATTAGAGGCCATTGTTTAGTTGTCTTCTAGTATTTAGTGCAACTGATATGTATATAAAATATATATGATCTGTCTTAGAAATTGTCTTTGGTCAAAAGAGCTACCTGTGAATTCACATAAAGATCTGTCAGAGCTGACATAGTCGATGGAGAAAGAGTCTTCATAATGCAGGTTCAGAATCACAGGATAGGAACAGGCAGTAGAGTTTGGCGATTGTGAACTTGACCTTTGGCGTCAGACAGACCTAGGTTTGGGCCTTAGTGTCCTTGCTTCTTACTAGCTGTGTTACCTTAGGAAATTACTTAATCTTGAAGTCTCAATGTCCTCATGCATAAAATGTAGGAGAGAATAGTATCTACATTATAATCGTTGTGACAGTTCATTCGGAGTGCTCAATAAGACTTAAGCACATAAAAAGCCCTCAGTAAAATGTAGCCGTTATTCAGTATTACTGTTATAATTAATAATAATACATACATATCTTGATTAGAATTTATGAAGCAGCCCACCTATACAAGAAGCATGTTTCTTTTTAAATTCTAAAAATGTATATGAACGTTGAAGTAAAAATTCAGGCAGTATGAATGTGAATAAAATAAAAATGAAAAGACTGTTGCCCTACAGACTTAACCTC